CAGCGAGGTCACCTTCCCCTCAATGCCCTCTGCCCGTTTTCGCTGCTCAGCAACATCCTTCTGAGTCTTCTCCAATTCCTCAGTAAGCTTGGCCAACCGCGACTGCATAAAGGTAAGGTCCCCCTGCAGTTTAGACAGCTCGGCAGCAGAACAACCCTCCTCGTTCAGCACAAGAGCCGTCGTGAACGTCCGCATCATCGTAGCCAAATCCTCCGCCAGGACACGTCGACGAGACTCTCGATCGGCCTGACGAACAACCTTCACCTCCCCAGGGCGGGACGACATAACCTTCCTCGGCCGAACCGACAGTCAGATCTACCACACCTCGGGGCTCCTCGGACCTCTGCCTTTTCGATGCTCCTTGAGACGTAGGAGACTGACTCCCTTGAGGCGAAGAGGACGAACTCTGCCCCCCCGACGTCACGACCTCCTGTCCGACCAGCTGACTCACCCGCGTCCTCGGGACCGCGGCGTTCCTGGTAGCGCGCAACTGCTTTACCCGCTCCTCGATAGAAGACATGTTCGCTGCAAAAACAAAGAAGGAGTTAGCGACAGCAAGAACCCCGACCACGGGGAGAAAAATAAACATTCCTACCTAGGTAATCCAGAGCGGCCACCCCGGTCGCACAACCGAGCAGGGTCTTGGTATTAATCAGTCGCTTCTTAGTCGGCACATTCCCCTGCGCGTCGAGGATATACCGACCGTCGGGCGTCACCAGCTTCGACGGAGGAAGAGTCCGCACAAAAGCGACTATTTTCAAATAGGCGGCCGTGTCTTTCTCCTCGAGGGTTCCCGCCCGTACGATATACCGATCCGTTCCTCGGTTGAAATGCTCCGCGGTCTACAATAAATGTATCTTAGGAAGCCACGCGAGGAACCGCTGGCCATCCACCATTCGCTCGCCCTCGTCGAAGAGGGTATCCGAGCCCCGCTGCGTGATCGGTTTAACGAGGAAGAACCGACTTTAGAAATCCTTGACAGAATCACTATACGCCTTGAAGAGCTTGGTCGATTGTTTAAATGAGACCCATCTGTGGCGGCCATTCACCGTCTGCCTCTGTAAGTGGAAGATACGGAAGAACAACGGTACCGTCGGCTCCACCTCGAGGTAGAAACACACCACCTCGAAAGCGCGGATGAAAGCCAAGGCGTTGGGGTGCAGTTGGGACGGGGCCAGGCGCAACCAATCAAAGAGCCCCAGATGAAAGGCGGAGAACGGTAACCGGAGCCGAGCCTCTTTAAAGTAGAACTCGTGCATCGGGAACATCCGCCACCCATATCGCGAACAGATGCGATGATGCTCTTTTGGTCGGTACACCTGCCAATGTTGTGGCTCCCCTATAGGCGTATCCTCGACGGTGGCGTACACGTCGGATGCATCGGCCACAAAACAAGACGGGGTAGAAAGCGGCTCCTCAGCCGCCCATTCTTCGGGCGGGGCAATGCGCTCGTCATCAAAGTCCGGGACCTCGGGTTCGTTGTCTTCGACCATTATCCCCGGTACCAGAGCCGACATCTACACCTGAAAAGCAGAGGACAACAGTGAATTCGATAGCCAGGATCAAATCCACCCTTCCACCGCAGGTCAAGTGAAAGGGCGACAAAGGCCGGAGAACGGCGAGCAAACACGCGCTCCCCGTCTACCCTCCTCGGGTCGTCTAAAGCCGACCCGCCATCCCTCCGCGGGACGGTCACCAGAAAAAGCGCGCCTCCCCGGGGCATTCACCGGAAAAAGCACTCGTCCCCGGGGCATTCATCGGAGAAAGCCCCCGTCCTCGGGACATTCATCGGAACAGCCGACTCTCCCCGGGACACTCACCGGAAAATTCGCCAGATACGGCGGATCTTGCGTCCCTCCTCGGGGCATTCATCATGCCCCGACCACACGTTCTAATTAAACGACGGAAATAAAAGGGAAGAGAAATGAGAACTCATTTGTAACGGCGGCGAACGGAGGAAAGGATCAAACGGTGCGGCGGCGATCGGCGACGAGCGGCGGACGAGCAAAGATGACAGAGCTTCGCAGGTACAACAGCAGAGTGAAAAGTAATAAAATAAGCGGGGACCCCCGTATTTATAACCCGGCGCGGGATTAGAAGCGACCCTAGGCTCATTAATGACATAGGGTAGCCGCCCCTACGACCGCTTAACGCACGACATGTGGCGGCAGCCTGACGGTCGCGCCCCTTCACCTGCTTTCACCCCGCTCCGCCGACGACCGGAGATCCCCGCACGAGTGCCCGTCCCACCGTGCGCGAGTCCCGACGAACCTCCCGCTTCGTTACCTCTCTCCCCGACACAACGACCTTAAGTCCTCGCTCTCTCCCCAGAGCTTCGACTTGGGGGGCTCATGTTCCGGTATGGGCCCGACCTCGGCAGACCCAATACCACGTACGACCCAACAGGCGAATCGGGCACGCCGGGCACGTGCGTCCCGCAAGACGAGCAGAGCATGTCGCCGGACACGAGCAACGCATCCAACAGCATCTCGTCGTCTCCTCGTACCAGCCAAACAGAACCGACCCCGGCGCATCAAAGCATGACCTTGGTTCCTCCCCTCCGCGAGGAGAACAACGCGCTCCGGGGTACCTCCCGAGCTCCCCTCCACGAGAAGAATAACGTGCCCGGCGCACGTTCTCCACGTGCTCCCCTCCGCGGGGACACGTCATCAACCAACTGCCCACCTCCGAAAGAGCAGGTCAAACCCACTTTCCGGAAATCAAGGAGCAGTTGGACTAGGGTGAAGACCACGTCTTGGTCTTCACTACGCCACGTAAGCCCTAGCAGTCATTAGGGTTGGGCCTGGTCATCCAGCCCACCTCAAATGACCGTTGGCCCAGCGCTGGGGTCTCTCTATAAATACCCTCTTCCTCAAGAGGGCCAGGTAATTCACATCTTGCCCTTTCTGTACTTTTGCTCCCGCTCTGCCCAATTTCTTACTTTGGCATCGGAGTGTCTTGCAGGTACACCCCCCTTCTCCTCCTCATCACCGGTGAACAGGTAGCAGCCCAACAGCGTGTGGCCAAACCGTGATCCCCTCCTGATCAGGTCAGACCATATATATATATATATATATATATATATATATATATATATATATATATATATATATATATATATATATATATATATATATATATATATATATATATATATATATATATATATATATATATATATGGGTTTAACTTATTTTAAGAATGAGTTTTTTAAATTTATTCTAAATTACAATTTTTTTTCAATATACTCTCTATTATTTATTATTATTATTTTTTCAATTCTTTAATAATATTTTTTTTAATACACCCTCTATCATTAATGATATTTTTCTTTCATTTATAATAAATAAATGACAATATTATAAAATTATGTATATTTTCATTTCTCATACAATATTGATTATGTTTATTAATTTACAAAAAATGTTAAAAACATTTTATAATTTAAAACTGAGAATAATAATATTATGTATCTATAAAATAATAAAAAAAATACTAAAAGAGTGCTTTCATATTTTAACATTCATATTTATACTAAAATATTATTTGATGTTGTCTTATAAATTAATTTTCATTTTATTAGAATATGTGGTGAGACTTAGTTACTCCACAAAAGAAATATATTCATTCAAATTATAACACACGTATTTCAATATTAAAATTTATTAAAAGTCTTAATCACATACTATTATGTAATATAATTATATTAATTCAAAAGTAAAGTTTTATTTTTCTATTTCCACATTTCTATTTATAAGTGGTTTTATGTTATGATAGGTAATTTAAATAAAATAATAAAATTAAAATTCTAGAAATTCAACTTAAAAAGAAAAAACAAAAGAGGAAACTAATTATGACCATTAAAAAAATCATAAAAAAATAATCTAATAAAATAAAAATTACATATTACTTACATAAACTTCCTAAAAAAGTACATTTATTATTAAATTACAAAAAAAATATATAGTATGGTAAGTCCACACCACCAAGCATTGCGTATTTTGAGTAATCAATAGACAAATATCAACGGTGATAGAGACAAAACGACGTCGTTTTTCTCCATTTTTTTTACACTCACTTCAACAACATCGTATAGTGTTACAGTGTCTCTCTCATATATAAATTGAATCAAGGTTCCATTCTTTCCTTTCCTCTCCTTTCTTGTAGCAGCCAGCTACTTTGTTTCATCTCTCTCTCAAGGTCTATCGCTCTTTCTTTCTCTATGTTTTAGATCTCATTGATTCTCAAACAATTTTTGTTTTTAAGAATTTTGATTCACAAACGTAACTTGTTTCCTAGGATAGATCTGTTGAATTCTTTGTTCTTCCTTGTTGTGTTGTATTGTTTTGTATTGAAAACATGGTTTCTTTTTTTATTTAATTTAATTTGCGTTATAATTGAGGATCTGTTTTTTATTAAAAAAAACCTATTTTTTATGTTTTTTTAGGAATGACATTTTTTTTTGTTGATGTTTTGTCGGTTGATTTGAATGTAAAGATTGTGTTTCTGTATTGTGTTTTCATGACCCAGATGAAAAGTTTGAGAATTTTTTTAGGGTTTGATGTTAGATCTGTTGTTGATTTGTGAAGATTATGCGACCCTTTTGTGTAGGTTTTGGAAATTTGGGGAAATAGTGTAATGGGTTGGTGAATTTCTTTTCAAAGTTTAGTTTTTTGTGTGTGAAAGTGTGGAAATTGTTATACTTTTCTAGTTAGGTTTTGTAAATGTGAGAAATTTTTGTTTTTTTTATTTTTTTTATTTTTATGTTTGGTGGATCTATAATAGAAATTTAGAATTGTAGTGTTACCGTTTATATGAACAATGCTATCAATTATGTGTTTGTGACATTTTCTTACCTTAATTTTGTTCAGACATTTTATGTGCTATCAATTATGTGTTTATGACATTTTTTTCAGTATACTTTTGTTTTTTTGTGTTTAATTTTGTTGTGTTTTGTGTACTTAGGCGTTCTACTGTGGAATAAGAACCCGACATCAAAGATGAACTGTTACAGTCTTCAGCAGAACGCCTTTGCAGCCTGTGAGGAGATGAGAGGTTCGGTTACCGTTATGGATCAGAAGGAGCCTCTCATTTGTCCTAAGCCGCGGCGAGTTGGGGTCTTGTCGAATGTTCATATGCGGCAATTCAGATTTCATTTCAAGTAATTATATTATAATCAATTGTTGAGATTGGATTTAGTTTTGGAAGTTTTTAAGTGTCTTATCCATAATTTTGTTGTTGTTGTTGTAGTCAACAAGCTGAATGTTCTGATTCGAGAGCTGGGGCTGAGTTACTTGACATGATTTTCGAGAAGGTATGTTAGTACTTTCTGTATAATTTGCCGAGTTTATATTAGGCATTGGAGGTTAAATAAATGACCGTTAGGATAATCTTGGTATCCTTGTAATAAGTGGCTATAAACAACACTATAGCGTAGCGTAGTTTGAACAATCTCAATTGTTCCGTCAGACACTATTTGATACACAATGGTGTCAAATAGAGTTTATGGTGCCGCCATTTTTTGTGATTGATATACATGATGATTGCGAGAATTTTGGATTTGTTAATATGGCTACTTTTCATTTTCATATCTTTCGAGCTATCTGGCGAATTCGTTATGCCTTGTTATGACCTGTTATCATTATTTTCTACCGTTTTCGTGCCATTAATGACTTCAATAATAATTTATTCGGTCTGGACACTCTTTGTATCTTTGGTTGACTTTGTATAAAGATTTTGTTCTTCTAGAAAATTTTGAAAATTTGTTTTCTTCTAAGAAAAGTGATTTTCTTATATTGGATTATTTTGAATCAAATCTGTGTGCTTGTGTGCATGGGTACCGAATTTGGATTGAAGTCATTAAATATTGGCTTTTTCTGCAATCAATTTTCTGACTTTGAACTTTGATCCATTATTAATTGTTATCGTTGTTTTAACAGGAGTGTCATGGAGACGATTTTGCTTATCAGGCAGCTTCATCTCCACCCTATTTTTGCGTGTCTCCACCGGTCCGGGCTGCAAATCCCTTAGTCCACGACGCTCGTTTTGGAGACGAGATCATATCATCATCACCATCAGGTTTGCCATCGCCAACCTCTGCATCCCGCAAAGGCGGATGTGCTAGGGTGAGTTTTGGACTCAAACCGGCCGCCGTTAGAGTAGAAGGATTTGATTGCCTCAACAGGGATCGCCAGAATTCGAGCATCTCTGCTGTCGCGTAAACGTTCCATTCAGAGAAGTGTATATAAAGACGGAGCTGAGTGTGATAACTTGTTAAAAAAGAAAGAGACTTTAACTTAACTGGAGAGAAGATAAATATCTTTTGAGTAGTTTAAGGTTATAATGTTGGAAGAAACAGACCTTGTGTTCTTGAGAAGGTTTGATGTATAAAGAGAATGTTCTTTTTGTGTAATATAAGGATAAGTTTAAGGATGTTTTTTTTATTTTTATTTAAGTGGTTTTAAATATTTTTAGGTCATCACCATGTGAGTTCCATGTATAGAGAGTTGGTGATTTTGGTTATTTTATGTGTAAATATATTTAGCTAAATTTATAAGTATGGTTATTATAAATTTAATGAATTAAAGTAGTGTATTTAAAGTGAAATTCCATTTGTATGGCCATATTTGTATAAATTTTATTTATCTAATTTTATAAGTGTCTACTTTATGTAAGAAATTGATGTGTAACAAAATATAGGACATGGATCCTACTTTATAATTTGTTTTCTCTCTGTCAATGTTATGTTAACTCATCAGCAAAAGAAGACAAGTGCATTCGGATGTTACTTCATGAATTAAAGGAAAATTAATTTTGTGCTTTGAACACACGTTTTTCGTTATATTTGTTGTACGTTTCATTTTTAATAAATATTACGACGGTTAGATTTCACTCAATATTTTTATCTTTTATGTATTATTTGGGTAAAAGGTTTAGGGGTTGAAATTTGCTATTTAAAAGTAAATCAAATGGATGTAGCGAGTTTGAATATGTATCTATGAGACTTTTTCTCTTTTACTAGATGCCATATCTGTGCCATGTACAAGTATTTTAAAATGTCATATATAACATAATAAAAACTATACACAATCTTATGAATTGAACAAATAATTGTTCTGATATAAATAGTTTACTGACTAACTTTGAACATTTTAAAATATTTTTTTTTATAAATCACATTTGAATCTTCACCTTCATCGTTCAGTTATTAGTATCTTTAAGCTTATCCTTGAAGTAATTTTAGATAGTGCAACATATAATTGTACATGAGAAAAAATTGATTGGGTCAAATACACTATAACATGTTTGAATGACTAGTCTTGACTCTTATTGATAGTCATAGCGAATAAAACAATCAATAGAAATTGTCGAAGTTGAAATTTGAAAGAAAGTGTTTTATCTAAAGGAGTCAGTGATAATTTTGGAATAAAAATTTTCTCACAAATATTGCTACCAGATATAATTTTTCCTTTAAACCCATACCTTCCTATTTTTGTAATTATCAACCGGGTGCCATTGCACAATCCTAAAGAAGGGTCTATATTTCTCAACAACATGACCAGAACTTCAACTTTCAATCTTAATTTGTGATTTGGAAGTCCATAAGAAATAATGGTGTTTAGAAATTTAAGAGTGTGCGCATCATCTGACATGTCAACATCTGATCTGACATTACACATAGAGTCATAACTCAAATAAGTTTTTTCTTCTCCAAGTATTAGATCCAACATGTAGTCATTTATTACATCCACAATTGCATTCTTAGGAGCCAATATACCTCTATTTTGAAAAAATGACGGATCACTCATGTTATGTAATATATCTGGATACGTGCTTTGAACAATAGCTGAAACTGGACCACTAGAGCTAGTAATAAACAAATCTTGTGGTATCTAGACTGTGATATCTTCATCATTAGCACCTCTGAGACTTCCATCACAAATTCCCAAAATCCATTATGAAAAACTCTTTCTCTCTTCAGCGTCTAAATTTGTACCTCCAGTTAGAAGTCTCATGTTAGTGGTCAATGTAAGCACTTCACAAAAACTCCACAAAGAAGAAGAATTTATAGTAGAATGAACAACTTTTTGTCTTGTTCCTTTAGGTATAACATGAATAATATGGCAAAAAAATCTCCACACAACACAACTACCTTTCCACCGAATGAAATATTTTTTGCTCTCAGTATATCCTTCAAAGTACGATCAACAACTTCAAAATAATGACTATGCATCATAGGTGCTTCTTACCATATGTTTACCTTTGCACGTCGTATTAAATTAGCTAAAGATCTTTTGGAGTTATTTCACACGTCGAATATTCATCAACATTTAATGAGATTCTGAACCTTGAGTGTGTTGTTCTTCCACCAGGAGTTAGCAATGCAACTATCCCATTTAATGTTACCGTTAGTTAGGACAATCTAACCTTTCGACCTTAACGCTGCAGACATTACTCGCCAAATGGAAGTCTTGCCAGTTCCTCCATAACCATATATATATTTTAATACCCCAATTTGTCCACTATTAGTAGATAAAATAATTTCTTTCACTTCTGAATCCCAAACAATTTGATTGGGGGTCAGTACACGAAGATGAAAAGTTATTTTTTGAATTTGTTCTCCATTTCTAAGTTAAGTTAGCCTTCACAGTAGCTTCATCGATATTACCCACCAAATAAAAGGCTTGTTCAGGAAGACTATCTAATTTTTCAGAAAGAATCAATTGAAATCCTTTATATGCTTCTGCTAGACCAACATATTTCTCTGGCAACCGGTAAATACTTCTGCTATGAAAAAAATGTTGTGATAAGAAACATTCCATTTTTCGTGCTCTTGCTACGGTTAAGCGATCCTCTTCAGATACTTCGTCCAACCCAAAAATAAATATCATGTCCTGAAATTCTTTGTAACGCTGTAACGTTTGTTTAACTCTTTGTGCTGTTTCATAATGTTCTTCACCGACGATCCAAGGTTGCAACATGGTGGACGTTGAATCTAAAGGATCTACTGCTGGACAGATACCTTTGGTAGCTAATCCTCTTGATAGTACAGTAGTTGCATCCAAATGTGCAAATGTCATGGCAGAAGCAAGATCGGCCAAATCGTCTGCAGGTACATAGATGTCTGACATCAATTTACGATGCTTCTCAGCTAAAGATTGTCTATCATAATTCAACTCATCGTAAGTCAATCGGTTTTGTCTCTCGTAACAATGCTCTATCCGGCTAAGGCATGTCTGAATAATTTTCCAAGTCTCATTATTGTTTTGCAACAAAATTTCAATTTCAACCAAAACACAACTCTTCCTATAATCCAAATTCAAAATAAAATATGCAAAATTTAGAAGAAGTTATAATTAAAATTTATAATTAGGACAAAATAATTAAAGAATATATATATATATATATATATATATATATATATATATATATATATATATATATATATATATATATATATATATATATATATATATATATATATATATATATATATATATATATATATATATATATATATATATATATATATATATATATATATATATATATATATATATATATATATATATATATAATATGATGATTAATGACAACATTGTCATTATTATTAATATCAAATATAAAAAAGACGAACAAAGAAAGAAATTAAGGATTCGACAACGATTTGTAGGTATTTTAATTCAATTTAGAGTTAAAACAGAAAAAAAATATTACATGAATGGAAATAAAAGATAAATAGGAAATTAAAATCAAATAGTAGGATAAAATTGAATAAATTGATAATACCATATTTAAAAAGAAAAATAATACATTTATAGAATATTTGATTACACGGACAAAAACATTAACCAACAACTACGTTAAATCAAAAAGTACACGACAAAAAGTAGGAAATAAATATTAAATACGCAAAAAAAATACAAGAGCTGATACAACGGACCACACCTGTAAACCCAAACATAGAAACCAAGATCACGACTTTGGTTCAAAAAATTGTTGGTGCATATAAATACCAACCAATTTGCCATCCTTCAAAGGGTGAATCAAAGTTGTTCTCGCTCTAAAATTTGGTAGGATATGGACATACATGATCTTATGGTTGTTGCTCTATGTGACACTAAATTTTATTTTCATCTCTTCAGATAAACGATGAAGCTTGCAAAAATCAATCCATCCTTCAGATATTCTGCATGACATTTTTGGTTTGATATCAAAATTCAAAATATAATTAAATTCATTGCCAATGTAATCAACCATAAACAATTCAGATACAACATATGGTTAAACGACTTGACATAATCCATGCCAAGGTAAACTCTGTGGTCAATGCAACACGAAAAAAAAAATTAAATCACAAAGGAAAAACGATTTTTAATAAGTTTTAATAAAAAAAAAAAAAGATCAAGGATAAAAAAATGCCAACACTCCAAAATTGACATATGAGGACGTCAATGCTTTCGTAAAATTAAAATTAAACAATTTTGGTAAAGGATGACCAAAAGGGGAAGCGGAAAAATAAGTAATACTTGATGAGCTAACATCAATAAATTTTCTAACCAAACACCGTTTAATTGGAGGAATAGAGATATGATACTCAATTTCTTCACCAAACCTACTTGTAAGTCTTATAGTTAAAATTTCATTTTCTATATATCTAAACGTAACCCATTCCCCAAACTTTATGTCGTAAACATTTCTCAATCCGAGTCAACCATCATTAAAATATCTCTCTCTTTTTTTCTTTAGGACTTGCACCTCAAACTCATTATCTTTTGGATCCCGAAGAATCGCATATGGTGCAATCTTGTCTCCAATTTCTTTAGCAAAACATGAAGTTTTTCCATTGACTGTGTTTTATAAAATATAATTAGTTAGAAAATAATAAGTCAAACAGGAGACATAAATAACATGTGCTTAAAAATACTTGTAAATTTAAAATCAAATGCAAGGAACTGCATTCCGATCAAGCAAGTAAACAAAATGCATGCGGTGAAAACATAATGCAAGCAAACAGATCTAGCAGACATTATGAAAAAAACATAATGCAAGCAACTTGTATTTGAAAACAGAATCGATTTATTGGAGAAGATACACGCATCACTTACATTATGGTTGTCAAACTCCATATGATATGTTTGCATTCTTGTGAACAAACTCGTTATATAAGTGTTGTGCTCATCGGCAATAAATTTTTTAACTTTCATATCGTTAAACTTTT